CAAATTGCTCGATGTAAAGTAGATGTCTCAGCCTGTACCTGAAAATAAGATCTTAAATTAGCAATTTGTTTATCTAATTGCTCACCTATATCCATAAGTCCTCCTGCCCCTTGATATCGCGGTAATGTTGTTCTCTCTACTGCACTACGTGGATGATGTTTTTGCGCCTTTGTGAGAAGTGTTCTTACTTTCCGCTGAAGACCCTCTATATCCGTTTTTGTCCACTTTATAATACCAAATGAGTAGCTCAGCGCGGAACAGGCGTAAGTATTTAATGCCTTAAACAAATTTTTACTATTAAGATATGACCGATTTAATTGTCTTACTCTTCGCACGAACTCCGAAGTTAGTTCTGTTTTCATTTGTTTATGGTCAATTTTCCGCGCTTGTTTTACTCCGAGATATTTGTACATATCATTTTCACCCATTGCCTCGATGTTTTGGCCATCTTGCATATCGAAACCTCCGGGCTGAACCTTTCCTCTGACTATATTTAGTATACGGCACTTGTCTAGTCCAAAATGCATACTGATATCATTTGAGAAATTTTCTACAGTTTTTAGCATCTCATCTAAGTGGTTTCGAGTGGAAGCCATTAATTTTAAATCATCCATATACAACAGATGATTAAGCTTCGCTACAACGGTGTTGTTATTTTTGATGCTAAATCCTGAGTCAGTAGAGTTCAGCAGCTGAGATAGTGGGTTCATCGCTAGGCAGAACCAAAGTGGACTCAAGGAGTCCCCTGGAAAAGGCCCCGGTTAATAGGGATATCTTCAGTTTCGATATTAATTTCACCAGGTATTTGAAGGTGAATTTTAGTCTTCCACTCTGCCATTATATGTTTCAAAAAGGTCACGAGATTATCATCGACTTTATATATTTTCAATATATCTATAAGCCATTCATGCGGCACTGAATCAAAAGCCTTCTTGTAGTCAATGAAGGCAGTAAAAAGGTTTCTTTTTTTGGTGTATGCCTGGTTAGAAATGACTGAGTCGATAATAAGTTGTTCTTTGCATCCCATGGAGCCCTTAGCGCATCCTTTCTGTTTCTTTCTATTATTATTATTCCAGATTTAGCCATACGGCTCACACTCCCTCTAAGGGGAAAATTCACTCATCCCAGATACCTACGGTATCAAAAGGATTGAGCTCTGGTGGGACTCTTTCCATGTTATCGAGTCCTAGGTGACTTGGTACGTCGGTGTATCTCCCAAAAATTTTCGCACGCATCTGGACGTCGAAAGTAGCACAGATTTCTGCATGATCTTATATAGATGTTCATTTAGACCCAGCTTTTTTATGTTTTCTAGGAGGTTCTTCGGAATGACTCCAGTGGTAGAAAGAATAATAGGTATCGTCTGGATACCTTCCATTCTCCATTGTCTCCTTATTTGTATTTCCAGATCTCTGTACTTGGCAATCTTTTCGTTGTACTTAACACGCAGATTATTGTTGTTAGGTATCGCCACATCGATTAGAGTTGTTTGTCTTGTTAGTTTATTAACTAGCACGAGATCTGGTCTATTATGTGCTACAGTTTGGTCTGTGAGCACAGTGCGATCCCAGTATAGCTTGTAGTGGTCATTCTCAAGCATACTCTCTGGAATGTATTGATAATATGGGAGATGGTTTGTTTGTAGAAGTCCCAGTTTAATAGCTATCTCTTGATGGAGGATCTTCCCTACTGAGTCATGCCGTTCCTTATATTCAGTTGCAGCAAATGCCTGGCAGCCTCCGGTAAGATGTTGGATCGTTTCTTGGGCTTGACATCCATATCGGCATTTGTCGTTTTGGACCTGAGGGTCTTTGACAATATATTTCAAGTAATTTTTGGTTGGTATAACCTGATCCTGAATGGCGAGTAATGAACCTTCTGTTTCAGGGAACATCTTTCCTGATGTCAGCCAATAGTTCGACGCTATATTGTCGACATAGTCTTGACTGACCTCATTCGGATGTCGCCCGTGTAGAGGTTTACCCATCCAGATGCGCATTTTTTCGTTCTTAGTAAGATGGTCTATGCGCATTTCTTGTTCCCTCAGTTTGATCGGTGTTGTGTCATCTACTGCGCAAATCGCGCGATGAAGAGTAGATGTCTCCGCCTGCACCTGAAAATAAGTTCTTAAATTATTAATCTGTTTATCTAATTGTTCGCTTATATCAATAAGTCCTCGTCCTCCTAAATACCGTGGTAATGTCGTTCTTTCTACTGCACTTCGAGAATGGTGTTTTTGTGCCTTTGTGAGGTGTGTTCGTACTTTTCTCTGAAGACTTTCTATATCCGTTTTAGTCCACTTAATAATGCCAAATGAGTAGCTAAGCGCGGAAAATGCATAGGTGTTTAATGCCTTAAACAAATTTTTACTATTAAGATGTGAGCGGAGTAGCTGTTTTACCCTCCGTATGAACTCTGATGTTAATTCGATTTTCATTTGTTTATGGTCAATTTTCCGCGCTTGCTTTACTCCTAGATATTTATACATGTCATTTTCGCCCATAGCCTCGATGTTTTGGCCATTTTGCATATCGAATCCCCGGGCTGAACCTTTCCTTGACTATATTTAGTACACGACACTTGTCTAACCCAAAGTGCATACTGATATCATTTGAAAAAGTTTCTACAGTTTTTAGCATTTGATCTAAGTGAGTTCGAGTGGAAGCCATTAGTTTCAAATCATCCATATACAACAGATGATTGAGCTTCGCCACTACAGTGTTGTTGTTTTTAATGCTAAAACCTGAGTCAGTGGAGTTCAATAGCTGGGATAGTGGGTTCATCGCTAGACAGAACCACAAGGGACTTAGCGAGTCTCCTTGGAATAGGCCGCGGTTAATTGCGATATTTTCCGTTTCGATATTGTTTTCACCAGGTATTTGAAGGTGAATTTTAGTCTTCCAATCTGTCATTATATGTCTTAAGAAGGTCACTATATTATCATCGACTTTATATATTCTTAATATATCTACAAGCCATTCATGCGGCACTGAGTCAAAGGCTTTCTTATAGTCAATAAAGGCAGTGAAGAGGTTCCTTTTTTTGGTGTATGCCTGGTTAGAAATGACTGAGTCGATAATAAGTTGTTCTTTGCAACCCATGGAGCCCTTAGCGCATCCTTTCTGTTGAGGTTCTATGATATTGTTTAGAGCGCAGTGTTGGTAGATACGCTGGGCTACACAGGATGTGACCAATTTATACAGAGTTGGAAGACACGTAATTGGGCGGTATTTGGCTGGATCTTGGGTGTTATTTTGATCCTTAGGTATTAAATAAGTTGTTCCCTGAGTTAGGAATGATGGTATTTCCTGCGGATTAGAAATAACACGATTAATTAATGTTGACAGGCACTCATGAGCACTCCAGAACTTCTTAAGCCAGAAGTTTTGAACTCCATCTGGTCCAGGAGATTTCCAGATTATTATTATTATTATTATTATTATTATGACTTCCACAAAGTACATATATTTTACAGTTTTATTTTTATTTAAATATTAAACTTATTTTAATACTTAAAATAATACAAAAAATTAAACATAACGTTAATATCTACGTCATTTTTGAAAACTGTAACCTTTGCGCAGTTGCCTTTCACTTGATGAATCGTAGAAAATCTAAAAAACATTAGATTTTCAACAAAAATTTTTTATTGTCTTTTCATTGATATTTAAATACTATCCCCAACGAATCAAATCCAAAGACATAAAAATTTTAATTTTTTTACAAAAAATGTATTTACAATATACTGGTTTCGTTTATAACAATATGTCAATATGATGGGTTTAAAAATCGAAAGTAACAATAATAATAAATACTTGAAATCAATTTCTATTTAATAAAATTTTAAATTACGGCAAAACTATCAGTCTTAGTTGCAGGACATCCGTATATCGTTCGAAAGAGAAAATTTTTGTTAATTTATTAATTTATTAATATACAGGGTGTTCCATTTAAAATAAGCCTTATATTACACATTAAATAATCCAATAATGAAACTACACATTTTGAACACCCTGAAAATAAATGTTTTATAATTAATCATGAAACACATTCGACCAATATCTAGCTATTTAGATGTATGAGTAATTTTATTAGAATTGCTTAAATAAATTAAGAATGAGTCCACGTTTAAAGTTTTACATTTTAAGAAAATTCAATAGAACTCAGAACACTCTGTACATAGGTATAGGGAAATCTTATGAAACTATACCTTATTTTTTTCATAAAAAAATATAACTTTGAAACGCCGCGCTCCATTGTGACATCCTGTATATTTTAGAATAATTTTAAAATGTAGCCTTTATCAACCTACATACTATACATTTCAAAAATTTTTCAAAATCTTTTACCGTTTCGCTGTAATCTTCCGTCCAGTTAGTGGTGACTCACCCTGTAAATATTCTTCAGTAAATATAACAATTTCACTTATAATATCAGTGTTATTATCAATAATAGTGAACTGTAAATTACTAATAACTGATTCATTGTTTACTTATTATTTACTGGTAATCTAATGCACTGTAGTTTTTTATTTATTTATTGATTCTAACTTTACTTCACTTAAATTAAATTATTTAAATCTGAATTTATTTTAAAAATGAGTATTATAATTACCAGTTAATTGATCTACACTTTCTTGTATCTTTTTTAAATCAACAAAAAACTTTATCTGCAGTAGTTTTTCGGTTGTAAACTTAAAAACATTGAAAATTATATCTCGTGCTTGAGATTCCAAGGGATTGCCCGTTAATACACTTGCCATGTTAATAAATATAAATAATAGTTTATAATATAGGGCCACTCCGAATAAAAATGTAAATGCTTGACAACACTGTCAGAAATCTAGCAATAATTTTACGATGTGAACTCCTCGTCGACAGCAAGAGAAATAAGCAATCCCTTCCACTTTTCAATTTGTTCTACGCGCAACCCGCCAGCTCTCAGTTGTCCGGTAATACTGAAATATAAACTACATAACACGATTAAATAAAAAAAAGTACCTGTCTTAACTGGAAATGCAAGTAATGCCATTACTTGTTTTATTGTAGAGATATGTTCTTCCTCAAAGCTGGGAAAATGCTTTCTGGCGTGTTTAACAGCATCGATTCTTCTATCGGAACGAATCAATTCGACAAATTCTTGTACACGTAAATTAAATTCCATGTTCGATTTTAGTTTTCTTAATTTTGATTTGTTGTCATGACACCAAGATAGACACTTATTGGTTTCTTTGTTTGCTAGAGATTTTTCTACTTCTCTAGAAGTCAAAAATATATCTAAAAAAAAAACAAATCTCATAGCATTTGGTTTATTATAATAAAATTACGCACACTAAACTTTACTAGCAGACAATATGACAATGACTAGTTCTTATACATAAAATTTTGCTAGAATATTTGTATCCAATAAACATAACACTGCTTAAGCAAATGACATTGAAATGTTTTAATGGCGTATTATATATAGATAAGGTACTAATGATCTTTTGTAATATTAACAAAAAATATAATACTCGGTATTTTTGAATTATCATTAATTATAATATTTATAATTACACATCAATATTTAGACGAACATTATATGTACTTACCAATATTCGTTAAATCCTTAATATCAGATCTATCAGCAAGAGTAATTGCAGCATTGTAATATCCGTTTCTTAAGAAATATTCCACTACCATTCTATCTAAACGTTTACGCCGCCATTGGTTAAGAGCAGCCTGTGAAAGCCCACCAGAAGGACTGAAAGTGTTGTGTTCTTTTAGATGTTCCAATCTTCTTTTACAAACATGAGAGGCCACCAACTCCTCGGCTATACTCTCTTCAGCTAGAAAAAAGACTTGGATATATTGAATATCTACCAAATGTGAAAACATTGTAAATAATCAACAAAGATTTGTCAATACTCGTAAGTTAGAAAGCATAGATTTGAAAATTTGGTAGCATTTGCCACTTGGATTCGAGTACATATGTTTACCCTTTAATCTAATGTAATTATTTGTGCTATCCCATCAGTTACAAGCTTCTAACTATAATAAAAACAAAAATCAAATACCTCCATCACATCATTAGGAACAGCCAGAGATATGGACTGCTACATAGCCCAGTCTGGTTATGCAAAAATTATCGATTTTACGGCAAAATGTTTCGCAGATATCTGAAGCTTGTAAGACATAGATGGGGGTTACTAGATGACGAATAAATAAAAAGATACTCCTATTTTTACTTAGCGTTTTTTTAACAATAAATTAATTACTATCTAACTGGAAATAAGCCACAATTAAAAATAAAAATACGTAAATTATAAGTAAATTTACTGTTTGTATTTTGAGAACGATTTCAGAAGTGGAAAATGAAACGTCAATAAACGTATTTTTATCTTTAATTGTGGCAAATTAATTGTAGTAATAAAGATTCATTCTATATAAGCTTGCAAAATTCTGATTTTTCATTAATAATAGAAAAAAAATTTTTTGATTTATTTTAGACATCTGAAACATATTTCCATTCAAAACGAGCAGATCATTGTTTACTCTTTTTGTACTCTTTACGAGGTAATTTTTTTAATTTCTTGATTACATTGTACATTAAATCGAAAGAAATTATCTTTTGTAATATTTTATTTATAATCAGTGAAATTTAAATTAATCAACGCAAACGAAGAAACTCTTAGTTTCATGGATATTTTTTACGATTCCAACGCAACTAAAGAAAATATAATGAGAATTGGTTATGAGGTGATTTTGGTTCTATACTTTACTGCAGTTAGAGTATATATAAAATATGCTGCAACCTCGGTACAGTTACGTTTGACGACGACAGTGATTCTAAAGATGTATATTTATATACTGACTTAATAAATGAAGACAAATAACCTATAACAAAAAAGTTCAGAGCTGACAGTGAAGTCGAATGAATGAACCAAATTTTAACTTTTAAACCAATGTATGTAAAGAAAATAAATAAAGTAAAGTTCAATAAACATTGCAAGATTTAATAAGACAAGTTTCGAAAAAATCGACTTATTTTATCAAAGCAGTAATGTAGATTAAATTAATATTGTAGATCATATTTTTACGAAAAATAGAATAAAAATCAATATTGTTAATTATAAAAATACAAAAAATTATAATTAATATAAGGAATATAATAATATAATGTATAAAAAATTACCTGAAATTTAATTTATAAAATATATAAGTATAATTACATCATCGATATACAACGAAAAAAATATATGTTGATTTTTAGGGATTTTCCGAGATTTACGGGGGTGAAAATTATGTCATCATTATTAATACTGCGACAGACTATTCCAGTTAAATTAAAAAAAAAAATATATATATATATATATATATATATATATATATATATATATATATATATATATATATATATAGTAAGTTTTTACAGTGAATTTCAAATGGACTCAATTTTTCCGAGGTTTCCCATATTTTCCGGCCAGTGAAAACTATGTATTTATTCATATTTCGACGAGCTACCCCAGAATAAAAAAGAGGCTTCCAGCTGTAATGGAAGCCGTGAAAATTTAAATTTTTCCTACGTGTTTCAATTTGAAGTTCCGATGTCGAAAAAAAGACGGAGCTGAAACAGTTATCCCCTCCACTCTCCATGTCGATCTTTCGAAAGTACCTTCGTTTCGAAGGGCTGTAAGTTTAAAAACATTGGATGAATTTTATAGCTATAAGCTTCAATATAAAGTTATTTAAAATTTGTGCAAATTTTACTTCTTAATGTTTATAAACAATGGAGATATGACTTTTTTAAAAATAGTCGCTAACTTCGTTCGTATTGGTCATAGAAGGTTTTTGAATTTTTAATGTGACTTTTTACCATCTATCCTATAGTTGTACGTACAAGTCTGTAGCTTGAAAAATATAGAAGTTATTACAATTGTTTATAAGTAAAAAATATACCCCTTTTTCAAACGTTTGTTTTGTAAATAATTTTAATGAAAACGCAATGTGCATTTAACTTCTGAGATAGTTTAAGTCTTAAATAATCCTATGAAATTTGCTAAATGTGTCTAGCGTTATTCATAGGGCAAGCTCAATAGTTTAAATAATTAGTCTCAGGGATAAACAAATTACATAACTTTTAAACTGTTCGACCGATCGGAGGGAAATTTCGCACAAATTTAAAGGACGGTAATTCCTCGATGTTTTAATGTATTAATAACATTTTATTTCATTAATAAAAAAATTAATAACATATAAATTATTGCAAAAAAACTGCTTTTTTGTAAATATCTCCGTAAATTATGTATCAATTTTAATTCAAAAACGGGAAAATGAAGATATTCTTGAAATAAAAAAATGATGTAAATATTGTTTATATTAAAATATAAGAGGAAAAACTTACAAAAAATCAAATTGTGACCATAAATTGTTGTTTAAAAAACGCAAGGAAAAAATAGGAGTATATTTTCATCTATTCGTCATCTAGTAACCCTTCTATGTCTTCCAAGCTTCAGATATCTGCGAAACATTTTTTCATCTTTTTTTTTTAACCAGACTTGGCTAACAACTAATTTTATAAGGACAAGTAGAAGCCAACATCCGAAACGAATACAAACTACAATAAGAAGAATTCCATCAGTACTCAGATATCACATATTTCTTGCAAAGTTAACTAGATTTTTATCTAGTTAACTTTATCCTGCAATTTTTAGGAACAATGATGTAACTAATAGAACTAATGGAACTAATGTATGGAGCAGTGAATGACAATGCAGTGTGGAGAAGATAATACAACTTCGAACTTTATAGAATATAGCAGGAACTTGATATCGTAAAACATATTAAGATAGGATGTCTGTGTATATAATACGTGCTTGGCGGAAAAAGGCGATGATAGGGATGACAGGAGAGAAATTATTGAGGAGGCTAGGACCCACGCAGGGTTGTTAAGTCAGAATGATGATGATGATGTAACTAATTTATAATTTAACTCAGTAACTTAAAGAATTTCCTCTCCCTCTTTGTCTCTCACAATGAGATGAAATTATAGGGAAATATACACACATATGAAGTGGGGTTCGCAAACATAAAAGAGCAGCAAAAGGAGTATCAATATTAATAAAAAATAAATAGAAACAATTTATACGTAAGGAAAAAATGATAGCATCAAAACTCACAACTCAGTAGAAAAAAAATAAAGGTGAAAGGCAACCATAAATAAGTATATCTAACTATTTGGTCGCCATCAGTATTCTTTTAGATGATCCAATTTTCTTTTACAAATATTAGAGGCCACCAACTTCTCGGCTATACTCTCTTCAGCTAGAGAAATACTTTGATATATTAAATATCTACTAAGTATGAAGAAATTTCAAATAATTAACAAAGATTTGTCAATATTTTTAAGTTTAACCAAGCTAAAAAAAGCAAATTAACTTCGGAAAGGACCTAAAGGAACCATGCGAGCAATTATGACAGTGCTGTCAGAAGTCCCTGCATTCCAGCCTGGTGACTCTGTAACAGCCACGGGTGAAAGGATCACTCAGGAGCAATGTTATCAATCAATCATTTTTAAAGCTTTTCGCGATGCAGTAATTTATCATTACCAATGTCGTGTATGTTCGTTTGGTGTATCTTTTTATACTTGGCACCGTTGTTGATTTTTCAATAATACGATTTTTTTTATATATTTAATTTTTTACACTAAACAGACATTTTGACTTTTATATAATTATCCTGATGTCATAAATAAAAAAATGTTTGAACGGAAGAAACGTACTATCGTAGGAAATGATTATGAAGATCTTAATACTTTGCTTTACTTTCAAGGTAAAAATTAAATAATTAAATAATAGATTAAATCCATAATAACATTTTTATTTTAGAAAATTCTGAAACTAGTCTAAAAAATCTTACTAATGCATTAGAGAAAAGCCGTGCGACGATACATTGAGTTTTAAAAAAGCACAACTATAAGCCGTACAAAATATTACCGGTACAAGAACTTACTGATATTCATAAGAGAAAGCGTTTACAGTTCTGCCAAGACATGCTTACAAATTTGAACAATGATCCTAATTATTTTTATAACATTTTATGGACAGATGAATAAAATTTTTCAACTTCAGGCATTTTTAATAGAAGAAATAGGTATTCGTGGGAACAGAAAAACAATAGAAAAAGAAAAATTAAGCAAATATAAAAGTCAGGAAGAAAATCAATAAATGTGTGGTGCGGAATATTTCAACAGAAAATAGTTGGATTATTGTTTTATGATTATAAATTAACTGGGGAATCATATTTGGACACAGTCATTACTGAAGTGGATGAGTTATTAAATCAAAATTATACACAAAATCAATTAAATAGTATGATATGGCAACAAGATGGAGCACCGTCACATAATGTCGTAGCCGTTCGAGAACGTTTAAATAATTAATTTAATGTGTGGATTGTCAATAAGGGTACCATTACATGGCCACCAAATAGTCCCGACTTAACATCATGTGATAGCTTTTTATGGGGACTTTTAAAAGAAAAAGTGTATTTTGACTCAAATACAAATATTAACACTATCACGGCAAAAGTTCGTGTGGAAATTGAAATAGTCATAATAACACAATATCTAACACATTAGAAAATTTGAGACGATCAGTCATTAATTTTGTTGAATATATATTTCTAAATATATTTTTTGAAAATATATTTTTTTTGTTATCCTAGAATAGTATAGTAGTACCATACGCCATTATAGAACAATTACTAATGCTACACTATGTTATATCGCTTGCTGAGAACATTAGTGACGTAACTCGCAAAATACCAATTTTGACTTAACCTATTAGAC